TGCTCGATCTGCGCCGGCTATGGGAAAAAGCCTCACAGAAGCAGTGAGGGTATTTCCGTTGCGATAGAAGGGGCGCAATTCCTTACTATCGAGCTCAAAAGGGGTGGCGGGATTACTATACCGACACCATCAATGCAATTTGCAACAAGTGATGTATCCGCGTACCTATCCATATGTCGGTACACGAGTAAGCCTCATCTAAATTAATCAAGTGCCGCCTCTTTATATTTCTCACTTAACGCTTCATCTGAAAGAATGCAGTAGGAAGGAGCAAGGCACTTGGTGGTCTGTGCAGCCTATCTCCCGTACGACTGGGAGGAGGCTCCGCCTACCAGGGAACTGCTGAGTGTACTGTCGAACTAGTGGGCTCCCTCTTATGGTTGACCACAGGCTCGAAGGGCATGGGTTTAATCTGTGGCAAAGGTAACCACCTTCTAGAGTACTTGCAAACAACAGATTAGAATGTTTTAAATCAGATTTAACGTTGGGATCCTTTTCAATAGCTCACGTAGTCACGAGTCAGAGAGTGTCTGCTGAGCCGTCGCTTTCAGCCCTGTGGGTTTCGGAATCCCCGATAAAATGACTGGAACTGCGATGTGGCGTAACTGTCAGAGCAGTGGGATGGGCCACCTTTGCTCTGTCGGAAAGCAGGGCAGGTGAGGTAGCATGAAAAAAGCGACGCCATATAACAGCGTCACATATGATAGTTGTAAACTGCGGACCTTTCGAGGAACGAAGAGAACACTTTGGTGAAACCGACTTTGAAAAGGTTCGCAGCTTGGTTCGCAAGTTCTTTAATAGGGCCATGCGAACGAAGCTGCCTGTGGACTGGGGAGATCTTATAAGACCGCTCAGCGTATCAGGTATATAAGGACCATCGCCGAAGGTTTAAACGATGATCTTGGACGGTAAGACCCTGAGCATAAAGTGAGGCTTCCATGCCGCAGATATATACGTCTATCGTGGGTATACATGTCTCATGGAAACACACTTTTTAGGTCAAGGGACTAACCCATAAAAAGGAGCTACCCGGTCAGTGCAAGACAGCACCTGCTCGGATGGGAGGAATCTCTGGGCGGTCAACACGTTTAGCCCATTAGAGTGTAGGACCGGATGGCTAAGGCCGGATTTAGCATGGCCCGGGCCCATAGCGACAAATTTTTAGGGCGGCAGAAAAACCAAATTTGGGAAATAATTCTACAGTACTATACACAGGGTGTTCTTTTGAAAACTTCCCACCACGGATTTATCGAAAACCAATCATTAGTAAAGGAAAAAACGCCGAGACGCGTCAAAAGATTTGTCAAGGGGGCAACTTTTTAACCAAAAACCACTTCACTCCGTTCACTCTCCAGGGTCATTTCCTTAAAAGTTTTAAATGAAAAGTGGTATCAAGAAGAATAGCTTGTTTGAAAGATCTTTCGAAGTCCTTTATTTTGACGTTTGATTTTTTTAAATCGGTCGATTTGTATTCTCAAAACTTAGAATAATTTCCACTCTTTTGGTAAACAATTTTGGAAGTAAAATCTGAATCAATAAATTAATTTTCACTATCCTAAGATTGTCACTGACAGCAAATTTAATTCTTGGTTTCCCATAGAAGTTTATTTTTGTTTTCCATCTGAACAGGTCGATTAAATAAATTATATAAAGATTTTTCTCATTTTCTTGGTTAAAAAGTTGTCCCCCTTGACAAATCTTTTGACGTGTCCCGGCGCTTTTGTCCTTTAATGAGTGGTTTTCGATAAATTCGTGGTGGGAAGTTTTCAAATGAACATCCTGTATGTACTCCTAATTAAATCAATCTGAGCAAATTAGGAGAAAGAAAATCGTATTATACTTTACTGTAGAGTCAAAAATAAGTTTGGTTGGGATATAAAATGCTTATAATTGGTTGGGTGGGGGGGGGGGGGATTTCAAGACGCCCATAGGCGCAAAACATGTAAATCCAGTCCTGCGGATGGGATATTGATGGGTTCACTCATCGGGAACATTGGGCGAATAAGCAAAAAGGCCACAGCATGTAGAAAGGTTTTTGGCTGTACGTGGCGCTTGGCGCAGAGCATATTTTAAATAATTTCCACTAGGCGGCACTGAACCCAGTATCGGCGTGCCATACTGGGGGCAGTATAAAATTTCTAGGGGCCCCAATCGCCGCACTAGGACATCTTTAGAGGAGAACACAAAACCGGAAATTTTGCAACAGTTTTATAGAATATGATTGTTCATGCAAGAATAACTATTTTTTTTTCTCTCTATAATTCAAAAATTCAAAATGAATTTTATTTTGATATATCAAAACGATTCGGTTATGGGTAATGGTACCAAAATCCGTGTGCGTGCGGTGCGCAAGAACGAACCTACCATGTTTGAACAATATAGAAGATACATACAAGACAGACGACATATCGTGCGCGCAGAGTTACAATTGTGACAAGTTTGGGGCCCCATTTTACAACATCGTCAAACAAACAAAGGTAGGTGCCATACCCAATTATAATTGACATCGTTTATTTGTTCATTTGTTATAAATTTTCTACATGTTGGGCAACAAACCTTTTTACAGCCCATTAACAATTATTCTTGTTGCGCTAACAATGATAATCTATTATATTCTAAGTGCCAAACTTAGTGGTTGTTAACGGTAAACTTCGGAGTCCCCCAATGACTTTGAAATTGGCAATGATAAATTGCTTTTGAAAGATAACTGAAAAGTTTTTGCCACTGGTATTCTTACAGACGACTAGGCGGGAAAAAGTCTTTACTAGGCGGCACTATATAGTGTCGCCTACTTTATAGCTTAAAGTATGCTCTCACATGGGGGCTTGTCTTCTCGACTGGTATATTTGGCTTTATACTGGAGTGATAAGGCCAATAATACTGAGACGCGCCTGTCTGGGAATCACGGGCGAGTCATGAAAACCAGCCAAACATGTCTTATAAGTGTTTTCTTCTTAAGACTATTTAAATGCTATGTGATGTAGACACGGTCTTATCTAGATAGGTACCCCTTGCACCCTAATCAGCATAATGCGTACCGACCAGGGAAGTCTACTGAATCCGCCCTACGGAACGTCGTTGGGCGGGTTGAGAGATCAATGGATTAGACACAGTCCATTCTGGAAACACTCCTACACATAGGTGTTTTCGGCAAGGCGAGACTTTCGAAGTAGGTAATCGCGCAACTGCAACGGTATCTCAAAAGCAGCACCAGGTATTCGTTGCGGGAGTTTCGTATTTACTACTCGTACTACAAGAGCGTCCTCAACACCCCACCCTATCGGTTAATGCTAATTTTTCTAGCTGATCATCATCGCAAAATATAGCGCAATGTAGATGAGATGATTGGGTTTTGCTTTTATTCTGCAAGCGTACGTGAGTAAACAGTACCTACTGACCATGTTATGCGAATGGAAATTTCGTCTTTACGATAGTTAAGGCTGCCATCCAGACTTGTGTAAAAATCCCTTACCCTTCGTGCGGAGTTCTGTATCAGCAGTTTGACAATAATCTGTTTTCCATAGTATAAGGGAATTGTATATTATGTTTCACAGTACTCCAGATTCCCGCTCTCCAATTTAAAGACCAGCGATCGCTCTTATTGTATGTTTAAGCCCCCCATACAACAGTGGGGTCGACTATATGCGCATCTTCCATGAAAGACTGGAATCGAATATTACCCTCAATAATTTACCTGAGGCTTAATGTGTAATTATGGCGAAGGTAAAAAGGTCCGTAAAGAAACTTTGATGATTTTTTAAAATTAAGCAAATCGGCCTATATTAGGAGGCGCCGTCAAATCGAGGGTTGAGTCTTCGCTAATCATATTTGTAATTTCAGGAAGTACCTTAAGGATTGAGTTGTAAGTATGCAACTTCGTCCTAAATCATTTTTTTTTCACATCAGATAACACACGATGCAGTGTGGTACCTCTGCTAGAAGACGCCGCTGCCTCGGCAAAAGTTGCTCGACTGATCGCAGCAGATCCTTCCATACTGCTTCGCCTCTACATATGATAATTAATTCAGTACTTACTGCCAGTATCTCGAATGTTTTTTTTTCGTTGTTTTCGGAAGTTTTCATACCGCTACAATTGAAAGCGGAGTGCCCAAACTTATTGCAGTGGAAGCATATAGGTTTTACCATATATTCAAATGTGATTGGGTGTATCCAGCTTCAAAAACAACTTTATCAGGTAAAGATAGTTTGAATTTATTAACTCCGGACCGTAATAACTACTCCTGTAGGAGGCGCAAATGGCCAAGTACATTTTAAGCCTTTAAAGTTTTCCCACTAGCTACCATAAAATATTCTCTATCAAATGTGGATACCTACTGTAGACGTCTTACAATATTCTCTTCATTCTCATTTTTTTGCACCCTCTGAAATCTGAAAAAGTATTTGTATGATCGCAAAACTGTAATAGGGATTTCCGTGGAGGCGAATTTCGTAACACTTGGAGGCGCAATCCTTGCATCCATCAAACTTAGGTCTGTTCTTCCGCAAATAATCAACCATGTGAAGTAATAAAAAAAAAATAAAATCAAAGCATGACATGAGGGCTAGAGAAGTTTTCGTGTGTGGAGTATAATTAAAAATCAAACAGACGGCGTTTGCATGTTGCACATTAAAGCTTGGTCAATTAACAAAATGAGATCTCATTAATTAAGCATAAATGTATGTATACTTTAATGCATACTAAGTTGTGTATGACTCATCGCATAAAAGCCTAGGTACTAAATATTGGGGCAAGGGATTTCTTGGCTTCCAGTTTGCGATTATTGGATTTATGCAAAACATGTCTTAAAACTACCTATACTTAAAGGCTTCTAAAAGATGCGTTACACATATTAGCTGGGAAATTGGAAATGAACTATAATTTAAAATATGAACTTAGATGCAACACTTTCTTGTCTGTGTGTTCAACTGTTCATCCAGGGTAAGTAACATTCGTAGTGTAACTGTGTAAATGAGTATAAACTAATTCATGTTGATTTATGAAGGTAGCGATTTATTGCACACAGAAAATGTACGAAAAGTGTCAAATCTCTATCCCTAAGTATCCATTGTCATGTCGAATAATTTACTTCTGAAAGAAATTTCATGAAATCCAATCGTTTTAAATTCAGCGCTTCCCGTAAATACAAAAACAATCATGATGCACAATAGTCCCCATTCGGACAACGTTGCGGTTATATGATAACCAAATCCTCCGTCCTCAGGAGTCCAGTACAAAAGATCATCTCCTGTAAAAATTTCACTTGGAGATTCACCTTTGAGAAACAGATACATTACCTTTAAATTGTTTAAAAGCCATAGGAGAGAATGAAAATACCATGAAGAATAAAATCGTGTAGCACGCACATAATACGATTCTGAAATAAATTATGCAGCTGCCTACTGTGTACTTTGGGTACTTCTTGTGCAAATGACGGAATGCGAAGGAAATCCTTGCCTGCAAGTTTAATAAGTTTTAGTGCAAGTATATTAAGTGTAATTCAAACATCCCATGTTCTCAAAAACGGCTTCTTTATAAAATAATAAGAAATTAAAAATCAAGAATAGGTATTAGCTCATTTTTCTTCCAAGTTTCAATTGTTTTGTGACTAAACCCTATCTTTCTTACCTTTTGGCGTATAAAGCCTATCTATCGCGACAATTATCTTACGTTAGGCTTCTGTAACATTTAGTGTCAACTTCCAGTTTTGTTGCAATAGCCTCGGCAATAGCTTATCATTTGTCATTTTTACGTGAGCATAAAAGGAAGAAAATGTGCGATTTCAAACTTTAACAAAGAAAAGTCATAACATGTTAGTAAAAAGGCAGTGGCTCGAAGAATATCCAGGAAAGAACGGTGTATGGAGAAAGCAGATTCTCATATTTTTGTGGGGTTTCAGCGATTTGGCATCGACGGCGCCAGTTTTTCACCATTTTGCTTACAGTTTTATTTAAATTTCTTTGAACGATCCTAATATATTTTCAACGAATGCGATTAGCTTTCCTATGCTATTTTGGTACTTCTTCCACATTTCTTTCTAAGCCTTGATAATGTTTGTCATTCTTGTACACGGGGCAATCCAGAAGTATATGGTGGAGCATGGCATGTGGACTGTGGCACACAACCTTTCTACAGCCGTTTTTCTCCGATATAGTACACGGAAACAAGTTGAAATGAAAATGCTCGTATTAATAACTAAAAGCTGTATGGAGAAAAGCCATTTACCGAGTCAACTTTGTAATTTTAAATAGAGGGGCAAGTGAGGTGTGGTTAGGAAGTTCTTTTTTAAAGAAACCACGTTTGCTTGAAAAGTTTGCGTGTATTTTTAGCGCATTTTTGAAAAAAATACGCTATTACATTCGTTATGGCTGGCTGGCCGGCCGTCCGAGTGAGATCTCAGCAACTACAATAGCTAGACTTCAAATTTTTACTAAAAGCTTTCTGCTATAGTGTAGACGTGCAGGCTCTAGTCTATTTTGAGTTAGATTACTTGTGAGATCGATAGTTGAAGAAAATAGTTCCGATATGGTTTTCGGAGGTGCTATAATTTTACCGTTAGATAGCGCTACCAGTATAAAAACTTAATTATTTACTTTGTGATTTGTTTACAAAATAAAGACGGTCCTACCCTCAATTGAAATTAAATAAAATTGATTATTTAACGCAGCCAAAATTACTTGTGAGATCGATCATTTTAAACTTCGCTAATAAAATACTCACCTGTATTACCAAAAATGCGCTTTAATCATGCATTTGTGCTGATTTACAATTTGTTTATCGTTTATGAACAATTTGTGTAACGCGTCTGAAGGGTAGCGCGTTCGCCGGTAGGTTGCGGCCATTAACAAAAAAAGATTGTGGTAGGCAATGCATAAGTTTAAGTCGTCTAATGTCGACTTTTTAATCAGTAAATGTTAGAATCTTTGCTAAAAATATACACAAAGCAAGAGGCATTTGATATGTTAATGATCTTGGGAGAATGTCATCAAAATTATCGTGCTGCTGTTCGCCTGTATGCACAGACAGAGTTGGACTGGGTCACTGGGTCAACTGGGTCACCTGGGTCACTAAACTAAACTGGGTCACTGGGTCGCTGGGTCACGTCATACTCTTTTCAGTTAGACCCAGTGACCCAGTTTGATCCAGTGACCCAGTTTGACCCAGTGACCCAACTTGACCCAGTTTGACCCAGCGACCCAATTTCACCCGGAGACCCAATTCGACCCAGTAACCTAGTTTGATCGAATAACGCAGTTAAGTCAGTGCCCTCGGTTCAAGTGTACAGATTATCAAATAAATGAAATGCTGGTTTGTTGAAAATAATACTCGATTGCTTGACAACTGCCATTTCTGTGATGTTTGCTTTAATACTGCCGTAAAAAACTTTCCATGTCCCGAATTGTATTAGAATAATGTTATTTCTAAACAGTTCCCTCCTTCATTTCTTTGCTTCAGGGCTTACCAGTTTGCTTACAGGTATTCATTCACATTTAATTTTTTTCTACTAGTTAGCTTAATCCAAATAAATCTTTTCTCTAAATACTTTCATTGACTACTTGACTACAAACTATAAACAAATGCATTTGATTTTGTTAGGTATTAGTTCTCTTGAATGAAATTGGGCTACGTGCTTGTTGCCGAATATTATTGCGGAAGTTTTTTTTAAAATTGAAAGTTACTTGAAATTGTTACCTAACAATAATTTATTTACTGGGCCATCGGGTCAAGACGGGTCACTGAGTAAAGCTGGGTCAAGATGGGTCACCGGGTCAAGCTGGGTCACCGGGTCAAACTGGGTCAAGCTGGGTCACCGGGTCAAGCTGGGTCACCGGGTCAACTGGGTCACTGGGTCACCGGGTCACTGGGTCAGTAAACTAACTGGGTCACCGGGTCACTCTATGCTTGACCCAGTCCAACTCTGTGCACAGAGGTATCCCCAAAGACTGCATCAGAGTCGTAACGTCTTCCAACGTTTAGCCAAACGTACGCGTGAATCTGGAAACGTCCAAACACAACATAAAAGAGGTGAAAAGATAAGAAGACCTGTAATAAATGAAAGGGCTGCTGATGTCCTAGCTGCGTTTGCGATAAATCCAAACGACTTTACCAGAAGAGCTTCTCGAGATTGTGGAATACCACGTGCTACCGTATGGAGAATTTTGAACGACAACTCTTGCACCCATATCACATCCAGTTGTATCTTAAGCGGAGACGACTTCCAGAATCGAGTAATCTTCTGTCGCTGACTGCTTACAAAAAACCCAATGTTCGCCGCATCTTATGGACTTATGAAGCGACGTTTAAGAGCAATGGGTAGTCAATATCTGGGTAGTCCAGGCAAAGAATACTTAATAAACCCGTAAAGAGCATCAAAAAAGCGACAGAGCATCTCGGTCTCGGTATGACCCCACGGGATCATTGGATTTGACCAATTTTCAATTTGCTTGTTACATGTGGTATATATGTTAACTGTGCAAAGGTTGAACCAAATCGGTCCAAGCGTTTAATAGTTATCGTGTTTACGGACAGACGGGCTCCCCTATACAGCTTGCATCGCTTTGGTCTGCTGCTTAATAATTACTCTTTGATCTAGGTTAAATCCTTAGCTCTAAAATAATTTATTTTCAAAAAAAAATTGGGGCAAAACTATTAATTTTGGGCGACAATGTTCAATTTAAAACCTCTAGAAAATAAAAAAAATGAACAATTTTTGTATCAGCACTATTTTCACATAATCTCCAATTTTCCCAGAAAAATGAGAAAAACTGTTTCTTTTTCGTGTTCTATTGTTATTTTTGCGAAAAAAGTCGTAGGGATTTGAAATTTGGAGGAAACAGCTTGTTTTGTGATAAAAAAGAAAAACCGTAAAATTGATCCGTTTCCGAGATTTTAAAAAAACCGCTTTTTAGGGGGATGAAAAATCTATCATTATTGTTTAACACCTTCGTAGGCACCTTTCTAAAATCGGCTTCATTCCCCGAAAATGCACTATGGTGGGAGTAAATTTTTCTCTTCGAATGGCTCTGATCCATTGGCCCTTTAAACTTTTATCCGTTGAAAATCAGCATATTATTTAAAAATTTATCTGTTCACTAATTCGAGCTAATCACGAGAATGATTAATGAACGGAACATCTAAAATAACAGCTTATTTCATTATATTGCATATCATCTCAGCGATTTTTGCCCCGCGGTGCATTGTGTGTTGCATATTGTGTCGACAACACCTTAGATACGTTAAGCGCAGTCTAGTTATAGCAAGTCTCTGGGGAAAACAGTTTTAAGATATACAATGTTTATGACATAATAAGCTTCTTTAAGTTAACGTATATGACTCTGCGCTAATAAAGATTTTTCGAAATCTGTCTTCTCTCTTCTTTTTAATGTTGCTAAAATATTTTCTTCTGTTTTCTTGTGCTCAACTGCTTCAATGAAAACATTTTTATTATTTCTTTTTTCTCCATTTTACCGCAATAAGAACAATTCGAAGTAAAATATAATTCTTTTGCTTCCTGAACAATTTGTTTGTGTTCTACAGCAGGAATTATGAATAAAAGCGTGATGAGGATTATTCCAGGTTTTTTATCTCAAATTTCTTGCCGATACAACTAACTTTTCTATTTTTTCAGGTTTTTTAACAGACCCAGTCCAATTGCATCAGCCGCAAAATAGGCGGGAAGAAGGGTCAGTGGAAGTAAACAAATTGTTCAGGAAGCAAAGGAATTCGATTTTACTTTGAATGGCTTTTTATTGCGGTAAAAAATAAAAAAACCAATAATACAGATGTTTTAAGTAAAGTAGTTAAGAATAACGAAAAAAAGAAAGCATATTAGCAACATTAAAGAGGAGAGAGAAAACAGATTTCGTAAAAATTTCTATTAGCGCGGATCCAACACTTCGATTTAATTGTAAAAAGAGCTATATTTATCCTGTCAAAAACCGTGCATATCTTAAAACTGTTATTCCCGTTTTTGGCGATTTTCTTGAAATTTTTCTATGGAATAATATTTTTTATTATTAAAATTTACGAAGATTTTGCTACCCGGCGCAGCTCTGTATAATAAAAAAAATTATTTTTTTATCCCATTGAAAAAGAAGTGGTTTTTTTTTCGAAAACCGTGAATATCTCGGAATTTTCGGGTTTTTTTATTCTCGATATCTTAAACATTTTCGCCTAAAATTAATAGTTTTATCACAAATTGCAAAATACCACCCCTTTCAACCCTCGAGATTTCGCTCGCCGAAAAATTCAGTTGTTTTAATTATTTTTCCCCCAAATTTCTAATCATTTCACCTGCATGAAAAACCTGTTTTGAAGCGGTAACTAATTTTTTTGTCAAAAAATATTATATACTATATAGCCTGGGCTATACAACAAAATCCACATTGGTTACAGGACAATCAGCATATTTGGAGCGTAAACATTTTGTGTGATATCGTTTGGAATCGTATCATGGGCCCATATGTTTTCAATCAACTACTTAATGGTGTCATGTGCGCCGATTTTCTGCATCGATCGCGGGGAGCTCCCAGAGTCAACTACCACTCGAAGGCGCTCGCCTTGCAAAAGGTGGTTAATTTCAACAAAATTCGTCACGCAGGAATTGTGCGCGTTTACAAGATGGAAAGAAGAATGAAAAAACTTAAAATGAAAAACCACGACGTTAGTAAACCACGCTCAGGGATGGCGCCCAGATGTCGACGACCCCACAGTTAAAAAAAAAAATTGAAACACATTCCTATCGATTTTTTGAACTCATTACATTACATCGCTACTGCAGTTTTCAATATTGTTAGTTTGTGAATTGTACATACAGCAGATATCAACGAAAACTTAAACATTACAATTTAAAACACTAGAGATAAAGGATTACGATAAAGAAAAAATAAAAAATGATCAAAGTCCTCGTGTGAGATCGAAGGGACTTCAGCGCATTTTTGTGTGGCAGATCAGTGTTTTATTAGCCAATATTGACTCCACCATCAATAAGATCTTGCCGAAAGCTACCACGTTCACTTTGTCGGTACCATTTTCTCACTTACCGTGCACTCGCAATTCGCGTTTGAAGTTTTGACTCCACCATCATTAAAATCCTTTGGGGGTTACCATATTCCCTTTGTCGACACCCACTTCTGATCACCCGCAACAATTCGGATTTGAAGTTTCGACTCCACCATCAGTAAGATCTCGTCGGGGGTTACCACATTCCCTTTGTCGATACACAGTTCCGACGTCCCGTTCATTCGTAATTCACATTTTGGTAGATTTCGCTAAAATCCCGGCATAAAATCGTATTCAACTTTTGGGTACTTCACATAGCTCAACCTTCTATTAGTGACACGAGAAAGAGAGACCGCGATTCGCGCTGTAAGAAACTTTTGGGCGCCTAAAGTCGACTACCCCTCGAAGCGCGCCGCGCAAAAGGTGGTTTATTTCGCCTCTAGGAAAAAAAAACAAAATTCCGCCACGCAGGAGTTGTGCGCGTTGACAAGATCTTCCCGACGACACCAATTTGAAAACAATCGGAGAAAAACTGTAGAAGAAGATAGATAAAAACTGAAAAATCTCCAGGTTAGTATAATACGCTCGGGGATGGCGTCCAGATGTCGTCGACTCCAAATCTTGTAGCCCCATCCCTAACGTTCTTAATTACACGGCCCCGATAGTTACATGTACACTCCTTGTCTTTTTACAAGCGTTTTTCTACGGGCGCGCATTTACTGCCAGCCAGCCAGCCAGCCAGCCAGCCAAAGTGAGATTAAAAGCTACTTTTTACAAAAAAATTTTTTGCAAAAATGCGCTAAAAAAGTATACTCCTAAAAGAAAAGCCGTATTTAAAAATTATTATAAATGGGAAGCAGAGTGTTGTTAGAAAATTGACATTGGTTTGGGATTTTTATAGTGTTATAATAAAAGTCTCTCCATAGACCGATTACTTATTAGATTGTTAACTAATAATATTTGTAATATTGCATTTCATACATTAAAACATTTTTATTGCATATATCTAGGTTTTGATGGAAGATGGAAGGATTGTTTAAAACGACAATTTCTTGGTTTATTAGTTCCAAATATTATTAATTTCAAACAACACACAAAAAACAAGGAACATGAAAACTTATGTGAATATTAAACAAATAAGTCATATAATATACAAATAACACAGATAACCAAGAAATTGTCGTTGTAAACAATCATGCAATTTTTTTCGCCATGAGATGTCCGCAATAAAAATATTACAAAATATTATCAAAATTTAGGAAATTTGACGCTTTTTTCAAAAACTCCAAGATAAATAGGGTTGTCTGTATGAAATAATGTAATTTGGGGTTGTATAATAACACTCTGTATAAAAACTGTGTATCACGATGGATGCTATAGAAAAAGTGCTTTTTGCCAAAATCAACCTTTACTAATAAGCAAGTTATGGGCCATTAAGGAAATCGACTAAATTCGACAAACGCCCCCGTGCGCCCAAACGATTAGAGATAGCTGAATTCCGATTGCATCAGTGATTTTCTTTTTGAAATTGAGCTCCAGACACCTAGGTCCATTTTTTCTATCTCTTAAAATAAAGGGTGTTTCCATACGAAAGTGTCCAATTTGGACCATCCTGTACATTAGTTATGGATTTATTGATTTTAAAAATTTGATTCATCTTGAACTTCTACTACTCTCATCTAAAAGGGGTTGAAGCTCAGCATTCATGTATCCTCTAACAAGAAGACTAACTGACGTGTAGTAAAATTTAATACAAAGTCCTGTCCAAATATATGTATGCGTATGTATAAGTTGATTGCAAAAATAATAAGCGTAAATAGCCGGAAAAGTAACGCGAATGTCTTTGCAGGTCACCTGAACAAGTTAAACAACCTAAGTAACCAGCAATTACGGTAATTACATCTCCACATTACGTTGTTGTAAGTACATTACCGCAGTATTTAAAACTAGTTTTTGGATAAGAAAGTTATTTGAGTAATTTCCCACCATAAAAGGCAGATTAGAGAATTACTTACTTGAATGATGAAGTAAATTGTTGAAAACCCAAACGACATCAATGCCCCGACCATGTGTATGGCAAATAGGGGCTTCTGTTGAAAATTGGCTACTATACTTATGCCAAGAGATATTATCATTCCCAACCATAACGCGACTGTATTCCATTTTTCCTTTAAATTAACATTTTTCGATTGTATTGCTAAATCAACTTGGCGGTATCTTATATAGTTGTTGACGCCCACTACAAAATAATTTACAGTAGGTTATTATTCCTAAACGCCTTTAATTGATTCGAAGAAATTAAAAACGTATTTGTAATTACATCGCAATATTTACAATCACATATAATTTTATTGTAGGTATTAATAAAATTTATGCAAATAACAATTGTTGTAACATCCTGAATACAAGATTTCTAATACGTTTCTAATTCCACATTATTAAGTAAATTTTCGAAAAAACTGAAATTACGTACACAAAAGGGCACCAATATTCAGCATTTGTCCAAATACACAACTTTCATACGGTTTCGTACCCGTATCACTAATATAAGGAACGAGAGGGTACACATGACCATTTAACACAGAAATCAAGTACCTGCAATCTAACGTTCAATACCTAGGTACAAGAAAGTTAAACGGAACTTACGTAACAGCGACTGTTAAGATGAACCATCCGCAAGTAACAATTGGCAGATAATGCAACTGAAACTTATATAATCCCCTCATTACTCTACTATGATCAGTTGTTACCACCTGAATTAATTTATTGTAACAGGCGAGTGCTATTTAGAACACATTTACGTCGTGTACATTTCTTCTGCCATGTCACGGAGTGAAAACAATTAATAACAGATCAAACACAAATCTTCGCTGCACCGTGTGAAATATCGCAAACAACTGGACAAGTAATTTCAAGAAGTTTACGATATTTTACAACTTCTAATAACTTTTTTATATTGTAGGAAGGGATGCACTTGTCTATATTTAAGGAATTAGAGCGTTGCATGAGGTTTTGACGTAAATTTTTGTTTTACTTACTGTTACGCACTTCCCATGGTAATTAGAGTTTAAAAAAATGTTCGCTATTTTTAATTGCATAGTAGGTATGAAACCTTACGTAAAGTGCGTGTGGATCTTAAATGAAAAAGTCTATCGCATTGCAATTAGCAAAAATACAAAGCTAATTAAGCGCGTGTGAAATCTTTAGAACTGATTAATTTATTTGATACCTACTTAATTATTAAGATCAATGAATCAGACAATAATTAAACAATAGTCATACGCTATACTAGGCTGGTTCACCAGGAGAGAATGCCGGTCACAGAACATCCGCTTCCGATCTACTCTCAATCTATGGGCCCCACCAATTTGCTTTGGTGATAATTGAGAAATTTCGAACTGTATTGTTTATAATTATACGCAAGTTAACATCAGTAACCTTCTTCTGTTCCCACAGGCCACAATCTTCCTACCATACTAACAATCGATATAATCAAGTTAAAGACGCCCTGCAGAAGTCGATAAAGTTGCCACCCCCACTTTGCCCAAATCAAGTAAAAAGATGCCTATAATTTAGAACTAATTAAAGACTAATTTGTACCCACAAAATTAGAATTTGTACCAGCTTAGTTCTGCCGGAAAACCGATTTTTAAAGTGGGGGTGCTAACTTGAAATCAAGTTAGCATCCCCCACAAATTAGTTTTTCATTGTTTAAACAATTTATAGATTATTTAAACAATTTTTTACTAAAAAAAGGTCAGAATTAATAAAAAGAAATGGAACGTATAAATTAAAGACGAATTTGCACCCGCTTGGTTCCGCCAGAAAACTGATTCTAAGGTAATAAGCATTTAAAGGCCACCTGGCATTAATTAAAATTATACGCTATAAATAATGCAAGAAGATACAAGCCCTTAGAGATTTGACATCACTAATGGATATATTTCTTCCAAACGTACCAATCACCCTTCTCCGACACTTCGCTCTAGAGATATTAGAACCAATCACGTTAAGGAGTCGAGGAGGACAGTGGTAGGTAGAAACTAATTCCTTTAGTTGAGACATTTCATTAGAATACCATGAAAGATAAAATAAATTTCCAACCCTCACCTCCTCACCCCGTCACCTACTCATCTTAAAAATGAGTCGCGGATAAAAGTTATAGTTTGTAGAACCCAATTCCTTTCGATGAGACGTTTGATTAGAAAACGATGCACTTATAACAGTCTTACATACTTTGTAATAGTTAAGTCATATTTCTCAGTCACAAATTATAACATAACACGAGAGGGAGCTTAATACTTCTCGTCGCGTCCATGTTAGAACTGACTCGAAACACAATTCGATTGCTTATATAGCAAACACCGGTCCAAATGCTCCCGATGTGACTCATTTAATAAGTTACGAGGATTTTTTGTACGAAAACATATATAGACCGAAAGATAACGACATATTTTGTGCGATGATTTTTAAACGTCTGTCACCGCAATTTTCTCTTTACATAGGCTAGAACTATAGCGTATAAATGTATATCATAAGTCTGTTGAGCGGTCCGTTCTTTTTTTGTAATTTTTCAAAGTTTGACAACACAGCAGACATAAGTGTATTAATAAACGTGTGCTATTAATTTAAAAATAATATTTGAGAGAGAAAATAATAGGGCGCTTGGTGACAATGTAGTGTGGTTGTTGTTATATCGTGGAAAATATTCACACTTTTTTTAATATGACTAATTGACAGTTTCTAATTCATTACCATGTAAACCAAAACTAGACTAGAGATCGCTCTAGAAAAATCTTGTTATAAGTTTTTGTAGGAAATTCAATGAGCTTTCGTTCTGTAAATATAAGTGGTTATGAAAAAGTTGATAGTTTTCGAGATATTGAGGAAAAACCGGGACTTAACATTCAAAATGGCGGCCTGTTGCGCACCTACCACACACGAGGTTTTTGTATATATTCAAGAGGAAGGTCCAAAGAACATTTTGGTCAAATATAATTTTTTTAAAATTTATTTGGCGATTTTGGTAGTAGATTGACTAGGCTATTCCAACACATCCACGAAAACAACTTTTAATGTCCTTTATAAAAGGCTTTACTGGATTTTGCATCTACCAACTTTTCTTCTGCTTTTGTAACAAGCCATTGAACCGACCGTGAATTATCAACCAAAGTAATTTTATTTACAAATACTGTGATTTTATTAGCAAATCCCAAGTGACATTTCCATGGCAATCATGGAATTACGAATAATGCGCCCACTTAATTACAAATGTATTTAAGTATAACGTCAAAATGATTTCAGTTTATTTCCCATATTTTTAAATTGTATTTAATGCATAATACAAAAATACTATAAGAATCGCGTGTATAATTGATCTGTAAAGCCTTGCAACATTTAAAGGCACTCCGCTACGAGTCGTGCTTTTAAACTCATTGCGCATGCTTCAAAGACTTGTTATTTATTTACTTAATTAGTTTCTTAATATATTATTAATGGAAACAGTGTTTTATTTTGTCATCGTTAAATGGAGTAATGTTGTACGTTGGTTACCACATGTTTCGACAGCACGCCATCATCGGCATTATATTTTTTATCTAAATTTAAAATTGAAGCTTCAATATATGGCCGAGATGCGAAAAGGGCACTGTGGATATTGAATCGATTAGATTCAACTTTTGGCATTGCGTATTATTTGGCTAAATCTATGCCCATATTGAATTTAATGCAATTCGGTTCATAACTAACGGAGATGTCAAAACGGCCTTCCTTATATTTGAGTCTACATTGCCAATTCACCGATCTAAAAATTTGGTAAAGCATTCACCTGCAAAATTTCATCGCAATCGGCCCATTCGTTTTCGAGATATCGTGCTAACGGAACGCCGGACGGACAGACACCGCAAAATTGTAAACTCGCTAGGAGCTCATTAATAATTGAGAGAAAATAGATGTTCGTTTTCGAGGTCCAGGATGTTGAAGTTTAGTGTCCAATTGTATTATTTATTTATTTTTAGCGCATTTCCACAAAAATTAAAAAAAAGCGCTATTGTAGCCACTTTGTTCGTCCGTCTGTCCGTCCGTCCGCTCGTCTGGACCCTACTAGTTCTTTATCTTAATCTATTTTTCCTTTTTCGCTATTTGGTTCGTTATGGCGTCGAGGCTTGCACCAAGGAAGGAATTTTTTCTGCGTTTATTGCTAAAAAAGTTATTGCAAAAAAACCAAAAAACCATTTTTACATGTTCCATAATTTAGATCGTTTATAATTTTGTATTGCTGTCTGTCATCTGTCTGTTGGTCTGTCCGTCTGTTCCTTTGTCTGTCTGTCCATCTTTCTGTCTGTGTGAACGATAACTTTGTTTAGAAATGCCCGATCGCTTTGAAATTTGGTAGACATGTTCTTAGTTAAAAGTAAAATTGATGGTTATTTAAAAAATTTGTTTTGCGCATGCGCAATCCAATTTTTAGCTTAAAAAATGTGCTATTGTTTGCGTTTTGTCCGTCCGTCCGTCCGGACTCATTTCTACCGTTTTGAACTACTTCTAGGGGAATGGTCCTAGAGTCCTGGAATGTTTTGCAGTAGGTAGCCTATACCTTGAAGGTGTGCCAGACGGCCATCAAATTTCGCTGTCTAAAAGGGGGCCCCCCCACGAATTATTTTCTGAAATGATGTTTTTGAAAGTAAAACGTGCATAACTTTTACATACGACAACCAATTGGTCTCAGAACGGAACCGTTTTCTACGAACTACTGCCCTTCTTTCTGTCCTTTCTACCAACCATAGCCCTCCTCCTCGACCTCTTATCGTGATCCGGTATATTCCCTTATACCTCAAGAACGGATTGTCGGAAGAGGGTCTCACAAAGGGCGATTGAGACGTCTGCAAGAAATATATCCATTGGTGATGTCAAAAAAAAGCTATTTCAGTTAAAAAAATGCGCTTTATTTGTATGAGAACGCTTATTTTTTTATTAATTATGAGGAGAACCGAGAAGAGAACTTATTAAGGGAACTATAACAGTAAAATTACCTCTGATTCATCCGCCATCATCATCCAGATTCGTACGAGCGAGAGTCCAATAGACTGGCTATGGTAGAATTCGAAAGTGAATACCCTCGTGAAGATCTAAAAATATCGTATTAATCTCTTTGTCACCTCGATTATCACTTATCGCAATAGCGGAACGCCCTGTTCTTCTGAAAAATATTTACCACCCTCGCCCGAGAACATTTTAAATACATTTATGAACCTAATTGCAAACTTTTTTATTTATGAGGGTATTTAAATGATATTGGTTACGTAGGTACTTCGAATAAAAGAAAATCTAAAAATCAAAATTTGGTTTTGCGCATTTTCTTTTTTATTTTTGATGAATCACTTAATTTCTATAACTAGGAAATGTGGAATTTAACCAGAGGTAGTAGTGGGTATTTGTGGGTTTTAATATGTGTATTTGGTGTTATAGTGGGTATTAGTAGGTATTAGTTCAGCAAAATCGGGTTTTACACGTATTTAGAAGGATTGTGTACACAATTTTGGGGTGCGGTTAACCTCTCGATTATATTTAAGTTTGGGTTGCATTTTTAAGGCAGTCCCATAATATCCTACAAATAACAATTATACCACAATTGTACAATGCTAAAACCATCCCTAATTGTCTATAAAGAAACTGTCAACCGTCACCTTAAACACAGGAAAAAGACAATAATGCTCAATCAAATTGCATAGCCATCAGCAAATTTCCTTCCAAAAGCGATCAGAGTTCGTATAGTGGAAGTGTGTTGCGCCTGCCATGGTTTCTTCAATATTTGTCACCTTCACAAAACTTTAAACGCGAATAAAATGGAGATGTAATCAGAAAAAGTTGACAGTTTGGTGTTGGCATTGTTTTAACGTTAAAATCGAAAAAATGAGAGGGTTTGTTGTTAATTAAAAGTTGAAATTATACACAACGATAAAAGGAAAGAAACCATTTCGTGAAAATTAATTCACAGTCCATCGAATAAAAGACTTACTTATACCTTTGCTGATACCAATAATAAATTAGTATATAATGTCTAGACCTATAGTTTAGTTAGCATTTATGCTTCGCCGCGAGTAGACGTGTTTGTAAGCGCTCTCACTAAGTCGGATTATCTAAGTAATAATTAAAGAAGTGATCATGCCGCTCACTAGAGATCAAATTAGTGAAATAAATGCATGTGTGGCTGCGTCAATAAAGGAGTTTTTTCAAAATGATACCTTCATTGATATGATAGTAACGCGTGTGGTCGATAAAATAAATGTGTCTATAAACGACCAAATAAACGCTGCAGTCGATTCAGTAAAACGGGAAAATGTGTTTTTACGTGAAAAAGTTGATGCACTTGAACAGTATTCGAGACGGAATAATATTAGACTTTTTGGAATTCCGGAAGAGAAGAATGAAAATATTCAAGAAGTTGTAATTGATGCATTTAATAATGTTGGTATTCCAGTAACAAGTGATAGTATTGATAGGCTCCATCGTGTGGGCAAATCATTGGATAGCAGTAAGACAAGACCTATTATCATCAAGTTTATCAGCTATAAATCCAAACACATGGTCGTGACAAGTAAGCGCAAATTTAAAGGTACAAAATGCAGTATACAAGAGGATCTTACGGTTCCACGCTTGCAGCTACTGAAGGAAGTGCAGGAGATAGTTGGACGTAAACAAACATGGACAATGGATGGTGTTATATTTGCAAAACACAAGGATAAGAAATTCATAATTAAATCGACAAGTGATTTAAACCAATTTAAACAATTGTTTACTAAAAACTGAGTGGCACGTGTATGAAGAATGTATTTACGTGTATTTACGTGAGTTACACCTTAATGTTGTGATGTCCAGTGAGAGTGCTGATATGATACAAACACTGATTACCGTAGTTTGAACTTTTTGAACTCATAATCTTTTATTTTCACCTCAGAATTTATATTTATAATTTCCTCCTCCCAAAAATACAAAAATCTGTTCTTTCATATTCATATCTCAATCATCGAAGGCTTTTTTGTACTACTAACAACTAATAGTTATTTAATTTTGTATTTTAGAATTAACTTGATTTTGCATATTATAACTTACGTTGGAACTTATTAAGATTAAGCTTAAATTGTAATAATGTAAGCACATTGAGTAGTAAATATTATGCCCTTATTAATATCACATTTAAATGTGCGTTCATTGAGTTCGCATTTTTCTGATTTTATGGAACTTGTATTGACCTCCAACTATGATATAATTTCTCTTACTGAAACTTGGATCTCGGATAATACAGTACTGGATAAATTGCAAATTAAAGGATATGCATTTGTGCATGCACATAGGGCAACTAGGGGCGGTGGAGTTGCTTTTTACGTCAAGAACTCGATAAAATTTGAACTACTACTTATTCCCAAAGTAGATATAAAAGTATTTGAGCAATTATGGCTAAAAATTACGATTAATAAAAAATCCCTAGCGGTTGGAGTTGTATATAGACCTCCCAAATCACATTTTTCAGATTTTCTGGATGCTATAGAAGATGTTTTAGTATCGGCAAATACCTGTAATAAAAGTGTCGTCTGTTTGGGTGATTATAATATTGATATGCTTAACTTGACTTCGCAGTCTGCGCTAAAATTCAATACTTTGCTGGATTCGGTAGGTATGGCCCAAATAATTTCTGAACCAACTAGGATTACTGAGCATTCAGCAACTCTCCTTGATTTGCTCATTACATCGGATGCAAGTAGCATTGTAAATACTAACATCGTCAATTTGCCTCATTTATCTGACCATGCGTTAATTTCTTGCGCATTTAACGCTAACACAGTAAATTCACAGCAATTTCGTACTCTCAGAGACCATTCGCAATTTGATGCTAATCTATTTCAAGAACACCTAAATCTTACACCATGGGGACTAGTTTATGGCCTGGAAGACATAAACTCTAAAGTATTTTTTATTAATGAAGTAGTACTTCATTTATGTGATGTGCACTTACCATTAAGAAAAGTGAGAATAACCAAACCTCCTGCTCCTTGGTTAACCGATACCATACGGGAAATGATATGCTTGAGAGAAAAGTCATTAGCTAGATTTAAAAAAACTAAAGCGGCCACCGACTTTAATAATTACAAAATGCTGCGAAATATTGTAAATAACGCAGTTAAACGGGAGAAAAAAGCATTTATAGAATTTAAATTAAAACAGAATGGTAAACAAACTACTTGGCAGATTTTAAAACAATTAAACATTTACAATAAACGAAATTCGTCGGGTTTACCCAGTCATTTGCAGGATGTTAATAAAATAAACAAATATTTTATCAATAGCAGTAAAGTTGAGCGAACTAGCGCACAAGACATTGTCACGAACTATTATCTTAATAACTCATTTGATAGCAATACTACACAATTTGAGTTTCAAATTGTCACGGAAGAAGTGGTGGATAAAATAATACAATCTATCGGATCTAATGCTGTAGGAATCGACAATATAAGCATCTCAATTATACGTTTATGTTGCCCTGTAATTATACCGTATTTAACACATATTTACAATTTTTGTTTGGAAAATAGTGTATTTCCTGAAATATGGAAAACTGCATTAGTGTTACCTTTACCAAAAACGCCGAATCCTACTGAACTTAATGAATTGAGGCCTATAAGTATTCTTCCCGCACTTTCTAAAATTTTAGAAAAAATAATGGCTTCCCAGATAAAGCAGTATCTTTCCTTAAATAACATACTTCCGGACACTCAATCTGGATTCCGTTCAGGCTTCAGCTGTGCAACCTTATTGCAGTTGGTGACTAATCAAATTTGTACTGCAATTGAACGTAACGAAATATATTTGTTAATTCTGTTGGATTACAGCAAAGCATTTGACACGATAGATCATAAAATTTTGCTATCAATATTGAAATATGTTGGTTTTACCGCTGCATCTATCAACCTGGTGTCGATGTTTATCTCAAATAGGTCACAAATTGTCCATTTAAATGACCTACGCTCAAGTCAATTGCCCATCTCTTCAGGAGTACCTCAAGGTTCTATATTGGGTCCACTCTTATTCATAATTTACACATCTAGTTTTCACCGGTCATTAAAATTTTGCCAATGTCACATGTTTGCAGATGACACGCAAATTTCATACGTTTTTGATGCTTCTAGTGGGAAAGATGCAAGCGAAAAGGTTAATAAAGATCTAAAATCGATAATTGGCACGAGTAGTAAGCATTCCTTGCTAGTAAATCCTAGCAAATCAAAGCTTATGGTTTTTGGTAGAGCGAAAGAGCGTGAAAAAGCGCTGAAATCTTTAAATATCAAAATTGACGATGTGAACTTACAGTGCTCAGACGTGTCGCGTAACTTAGGGCTTAAACTAGATACTAACCTAAAATTTAAACAGCATGTTAATGAGTGCATTAGAAAGGCTTATTACAACTTAAAAATTATTTACAGTAATCGGCAAATATTAGGGCAAAAAACAAAGGCGATGCTCTGTAATTCTTTGGTACTTTCTCATTTCACATACTGTGATACTGTTTATGGTCCTTGTATTGATAGTGTGGATATTAAGCGAATCCAGAAAGTACAAAATTCATGTTTACGGCTTATCTTCGGTATCAAAAAGCGAGAGCATAGTTCACATAAGTTGAAAGATGTGGGTTGGTTGAAAATGAGCGATCGACGGCTGTTGCATGCGGCATGCTTTTTTCGGAAAATAATTATTACTCTCCACCTTACCTATATGGCCTAATTCAATTTAGAACAGATGTACATCATTTAAATTTAAGGCACCGCGGTTTATTGTCAATACCTCGTCACTCTCTATCATCTTTTCGCCGGTCATTTGTTTATTACGTCGCATATGTTTATAATTCTGTTCCATCTGTTCTAAAATGTAGCACTTTGGATCACAAGACATTCAAGAGACTATTTTTCAAACATTTGGTACGATAGTTGGTTTTAGTACTGAAACAGAAAAATGCAACACAAACTAAGGAGAGCATTTTAATGTATTTAGGGAAAAAGTCAATTGGTAGATTTACTTAGAAGTGGTGATCTATAAAAATATATATATTGAAACAAGGTTAAGTGGAAGAGCAGGAGGTTACTTGTGACCAACCTGAACATCGCCTTGGGGTTCAACAAGCATATGAGTTTTTTTAATTTTATTGTTTTGTATGTTGTGTTTACAATTATTTTTATTTAGCTTGTTGAATAAAGACATTATTATTATTATCGGTGTTTCTTGTGAGAACTCAGGTCTAGCCTGGTTAACTAATCGCACGGATTAAAATCAAGTAACGATTAGTGTCTGTGTCTGGTGAAGTTATGTAGGGTCATTAAAAAAAAAAAAAAAAAAATCACACGTACATTGGACATCTAGGGATAATGTAATTCGTACTTACCAACATACCTATTGATGGGCACAATAGCCAACGCTATCAGGAAAGAGGAAAACAAAACAAAAAAATCATTATAATAATTCCTGTCATTTTATTAAATGGAGTTTATTGTGTAAGTGTTTCTTTGGCTTTGCGTTTGGGTTGAATACGAGTGGGTTGTGATAACGTGGTGTGCTTCTGTGAAGAAGGAGTTTTGTATTTTTTAATTGTATTTATGGTGTTTCTTTGTTCCTGAGGTCGTATTTGTGAGGTTGCTTGGGTTTTTGGTGGAGATATTGCAGTATTTTGTGAGCCTGTGTTAAGGTTTTTGCGTTTCGGTTGTATACGAGTGGGTTGTTTCTGAGAAGAAGGAGTATTGTGTTTTTTAACTGTGCTAGGCTATTATTATTATTATTATGATCGGTGTTTCTTGTGAGAACTCAGGTCTAGCCTGGTTAACT